AATTAAGTTTTTGAAGCTGACGGTAAATCGTGAAATGAATTTCTAAGGCAACCATCACACGAAAGGCCAGTGTAAAGCGGAAATGCAAACATGTCACAGTGGTCCTGCTGTAACGACATCGACTTGCCGTTGTCTGCAGACTGTTTGCAAGCTTGCGATCAACTGTTGTCTAAGCCTGACACTTAAAAAAATGCCTTTGAACAACCTGGCGGTAATTGACATTCTAGTGGTTTTGTGGTTGACATGCAGTGTGTGTGGTTAGTTATGGAACATGCGTAGATAATCACTGTTTTTCTAGGAGTCATCGTCTTGTAAGCTGTCTGGAGCTGTGCACCTGACAGGTGATATAATACCGTATTTACCCAAATGTGACGCGATGTTTTCATTTTTTTCTTTCATATTTTTTCTACTAAAGTCGACCCTCTCATACAGAGCACCGAAATTATATTTTTTCCTTTTAGACGTAATGAACTGTCACCATTGTGCGTTACCATCATGGTCGTGTTACAATAATAAATACACTGTATGTAATATATGGCACGACGCTTATGCAGCCTGAGTTTTCATGTGTTTCATGAGCGTTTTTAAGGCAAGTTTTCATTAAAATACTTGGGATATTTTTCAGAGCACCAATCCATGTGCATTGGTGGAAATCGATGCTGGGGGGGAGTCCTGTGCATGCTCTCAATTATTTTTTTCTGTTATTAAGAACTTTTTGGGGTTGCAGTATTCGTGAATACAACAGTAACGCCGGTCTCGAAGCTTCTTTTTCCTCGTCCGATCATCGCTCACGGCGGCATGGTTCACGTTAGTATTTGTTTGTAGGCCCGAATGTTTCTGGCCGCATTTGACAGGGTGGCATTCTATGTCCGCGGAAACTCCTGCGCTGGTTCCCCATAGAGCTACTCAACATAATTCTTGTTAGCACGATCCTAATAGTCATCATATCAGTTAGGTCTAGTTAGTCTGGTTTACTTAGTGCATCAATAGCATGCTTTAGTTTGCACGGTTCTAGCTTCACATGGCTTCATTGTCATAGTCTTATTAAGATGTGGTGTAATTACCTCGTTCTTATCATGACTTGGCCTAATTACCTTGGTCATAGCATGTCCTGGCCTAACTAGCCAAGTTATACCGCCCAGCCAAATAACTAATTAGTCGGCCGCACCGGCTCGTGTGCTAGCGCAGGATGAAGAGGAAAAGGAAGGCGCGCACTGGCTGAGCAGCATGCTAGAATGTACAGGCTGACCATGATGAAAATGTGGCCTCGGGTTTAGCTGCGGTTGCAATGTTGTGAAACACTCGGCCAGAACAAATCTCAAAGGTCACCATGCTGATTATTCTAAAGCAGACTTAGTGCAGGCATTGAAAGCTTCAAAATGAATTTAAACTGCTCGTGCTTTGAACACCTTTTTTTGCATGGGTGTACTTTTTCACTCAGTGGAATGACGAACAAATGAAAGAATGTGCCTCTGGTTTGAAAACACCGCCCAACTTTGGCGACCATTCTTGACACGCCGGTTTCTGTTGTAACCAATGAAACACAGCGTGCTGAGGGGTGAATTTGACTTTTTTGTGCTGTTGGCTCATTCAAATGGGGGTGTCGCCAAAGCTCTGAAAGATACCGAGTTTTCGCGAAGCTCGGGTGATGCTGCATAGCACCCCTAAGCCAATTTTAAAAAATATTCCGGGCCTGTGCCTCTGTTCCTCGTGAAGCCGTCTGGAAGGGGCCCAAGCCCCCCATACTCTTCGTTTATGGCAACATGCATGTGTCCACGTATCCATGTGGGAGAAATCGGCAATGAGTAAGGTAAAAACACAGTATACTATAGTGATGGGCGACTTTAATGCAAAGGTAGGGAAGAAGCAGGCTGGAGACCAGGCAGTAGGAGATTATGGCATCGGCACTAGAAACGCCAGAGGAGAGCTACTAGTAGAATTCCCAGAACGCAGTAATTTGCGGATTTTGAATACCTTCTACCGAAAATGAGAAAACCGCAAGTGGACATGGAGGAGCCCTAATGACGAAAATAAGAACGAAATAGACTTTATAATGACCGCACACCCAGGAATCGTGCAGGATGTGGAAGTGGTTGGCAAGGTACGATGCAGTGACCATAGAATGGTACGGTCTCGAATTCGCTTAGACTTGAAGAAGGAACGACAGAAACTGATACGCAAGAAGCCAATCAATGAGATAGCACTGAGAGGGAAAGTACAGGAATTCAGAGTGTCGCTGCAGAACAGGTACTCGGCTCTTAGTGAGGAAACCAACCTTAGCGTAGATACAATGAATGATAATCTGACGAGTATCATTACGGAGTGTGCAGTGGAAGTTGGAGGCAGGGTAGTTAGACAGGACACTGGCAAGCTTTCCCAGGAAACGAAGAACCTAATTAAGAAGCGTCAAACCATGAAAGTGTCAAGTACAACAGACGAAATAGAACTGGCAGAGCTTTCGAAGTTGATTAATAGACGTAAAGTATGCGATGTAAGAAGGCATAACATGGAGAGAATTGAACACGCTCTGAAAAACGGAGGAAGCTTCAAAGCAGTGAAGAGGAAACTTGGGATAGGCAAAGTAGGATGTATGCACTAAAGGACAAAGAAGGCAAAATAACTACCAATATGGATAGGATAGTTAAAATAGCGGAGGAGTTTTACAGAGATCTGTACAGTAGCCGAGACAACCACGACGTTAATACCATAAGAACTAGCAGTAACCCAGACGACACCCCACCAGTAATGATAGAAGAAGTCAGAAAAGCTTTGGAGAGCATGCAAAGAGGCAAAGTTGCTGGTGAGGATCAGGTAACATCAGATCTGCTGAAAGATGGAGGACAGATTGTGTTAGAAAAACTAGCCACCCTGTTTACGAGGTGTCTCCTGACGGGAAGGGTACCAGAGTCTTGGAAGAACGCTAACATCATCTTAATACATAAGAAAGGAGATGACAAGGACTTGAAGAATTACAGGCCGATCAGCTTGCTCTCTGTAGTGTACAAGCTATTTACAAAGGTAATTGCTAACAGAGTAAAGAAAACATTAGAATTCAATCAACCAAAGGAACAAGCAGGATTTCGAACAGGCTACTCAACAATTGACCACATTCATACTATCAATCAGGTAATAGAGAAATGCTCAGAGTATAACCAACCACTATACATAGCCTTCATAGATTACGAGAAGGCGTTTGATTCAGTAGAAATATCAGCCGTCATGCAGACACTGCGGAATCAGGGCGTAGATGAAGTATATATAAACATTCTGGAAGAAATCTACAGGGGATCAACTGCTACCATAGTGCTTCATAAAGAAAGCAACAGAATACCAATCAAGAAGGGTGTAAGGCAGGGGGACACAATCTCCCCAATGCTATTTACCGCGTGCTTACAGGAGGTTTTCAGAAGCCTAGAATGGGAACAGTCAGGGATAAGAGTTAATGGAGAATACCTTAGTAACCTGTGCTTCGCCGATGACATTGCATTGCTGAGTAACTCAGGGGACGAATTGCAACTCATAATTACGGAGTTACACAGGGAGAGCAGAAAGGTGGGTCTTAAAATTAATCTGCAGAAAACGAAAGTAATGTACAACAACCTCGGAAAGGAACAGCGCTTCGAGATAGGTAATAGTGCACTTGAAGTTGTAAAAGACTATGTCTACTTAGGGCAGTTAATAACCGCAGAGCCTAACCACGAGATTGAAGTAACTAGAAGAATAAGAATGGGGTGGAGCACATTCGGCAAGCACTCTCAAATTATGACAGGTAGATTGCCATTATCCCTTAAGAGGAAGGTATATAACAGCTGTATCTTGCCGGTACTTAGCTACGGAGCAGAAACCTGGAGACTCACAAAGAGGGTTCAGCTTAAATTGAGGACGACACAGCGAGCAATAGAAAGAAAAATGGTAGGTGTAACCTTGAGAGACAAGAAGAGAGCGGAGTGGATTAGGGGACAAACGGGGGTTAAGGGCATCATAGTTGAAATAAAGAAGAGGAAATGGACATGGGCCGGGCATGTAGCGCGTAGACAGGATAACCGCTGGTCATTAAGAGTAATTAACTGGATTCCCAGAGAAGGAAAGCGGGTCAGGAGGAGACAGAAGGTTAGGTGGGCAGATGAAATTAAGAAGTTTGCGGGTATAAATTGGCAGCAGCAAGCACAGGACCGGGTTAACTGGCAGAACATGGGAGAGGCCTTTGTCCTGCAGTGGACGTAGCCAGGCTGATGATGATGATGCATGTGTCCATTGAAGACCAACAATGCTGAATATATCATAGTAGTATATGTTGGTTTTTGCTGTTATTGAGCAAAATAGAAACATATCTAACAATAATATGTTAAAGTCACCAATATTATTACTTTAGTTGCATCTTAGTGTTCTTACATGTAGTTGACACTGTTGGAAGTGTTTTGTGACACCTGCATTTATCTTCATTACCCTTTATCAAAAGGCAAACCTTAGACGCAGTCATGTTTAGTTCAATTTTCTCGAAATATATTGTTGATGTAAATATTGAAAATAATCAGGTTTCAGCTTGAAATGAAGGACCCTAATGATATTATACATTGTTTGATATATGCATGCACACATGAATAATACCGGAAATTCAGGAAACTGTCCCTAGATTTGCTATCATCAGCCAACTATCAATAACACCTAGCCTTGTGTTTATGTGACCGCCTGACTGTAGTTGCTGTTCCCTTTTGTGCGCTAGAAAATCTAGGCAGGCTTTGTAAAATCCACTGTATTGTTACAGTGAGCACAGTTAGCGTAATTGAACCTCTGCATGTTTAGTATTGCACGAGTTCAGTACCCATTTTTCATCACCCTGCCAACCTGCATGAGGAGGCGCTCATGCGACTGATCATTTTCAGCTGCTGTGTGAAGGGTCTGGAAAGTAGTTTTTGTTGCATATACTAGTTTCTTTATGCGGTAACAATGAAGCACTTTTTTATGTAAAACTTACAGTGTGCTTTTTTTTCTACTTGTAGGAACCGTAGAGCTAGTTGATGCCAGGAGCAGTTTGCCAGGCTTAGTGAGCAGCTCAGGCCTCTATACATGGAAAGTTTCCAGCAAAGATATGGCAGTTTACACCTCATTTGATGAAGTGCCAGAGAAGTACCACACACAGATCAGAGCGCACATGTTCCCTCCATCATCAGAGGTGGCTACGCAACTGAAATTGGAGCGCTGGTGTGTATAGTCTTTTTGTTTCTCAGGTAGGAGTGGCTTTTTGATATCATTCTTGATAGGCGAGCTGCAATCAAATTTGCCTCGGACAGAATTGGCTGGAAATGCTTAGTGTATGTTGGGTAAGCAGTGATAGTGACAGTGAAAGATCTTGCAAGTGCATATTTTATTTATAATGAGTGCTCTAATTATCAGCTAGCAGACGACGTGGAGCTCTAGTGGTGTGCCTGGGCAAATGGGAAGCAAACGGAAATCATGTCAATCACAGCTCGCCACCGCTTGTGAGCAGAATTTCGTGCAGCCATGTCCCTTTCTTTTCTCAGTGATACCCTTCCACGAGGGGATAATTTAACTCTTTTGTAGTGCAAAAGGTGTGGCTGTAGGCTGCTGGAACGTAAGCTATGGCTAAGACCAGCTTTCATGCTTTTCCTAAAAATGTAAAGCTTCAAAAGCTGTGGGTCATTGAATTAAGGCATAAGGAATGGGAGGTATTGAGTGTACGTGGGGCTTTACACGGTGCACTTAAAAATGACGAATATCAACATGACTGGTGTCTCTTCGCATGAATACGGTCGAAACTGAAAAGAATGTTGAATCCTGATGCAGTGCCTTTAATATTCAGCCACTGCAAACACAATAGTTGAAGACCCGACCAGCTTTTGTGGAAGCGTCGGCAACGAGGGTTATTCATATTAGACGGCTTTAGTATAGCGTAAAATGCTTGCATTAGCCTGTTCTGCTTGCTAAATTATAACGTAATGCTATTCCAAAGACAACAGCGGTAGAACAATGCCCCATGAAGCGCTAGACTACGTGCGCCAACTATGCCCAAGTAATCAAACTTCAAAAGCAACAGAAATGTAGTCATGCTCTGTTCAAAGCAATTCAAGCTCATAAACATGTTATTAGAAAATGAATTCTTCTATGTTAGGTATATTAATTTTTTGGGCGCAGTCAAGTGTTTTCAGAAATGCAGGGACACTTTTGGTTGACATGAGAGTGTGCCAAACCGAACATCAGTATAAAAAATAATGCACTCTTATTGTTTGTAGTCTTTCAATAACGCAAGAATACCCGAAGCGTAAACCAGCTGCATCATTTATTGTGAACTAGCGCTTCTCCAAGGTGGTAGGCACGAAGCGGGCAGCTATTATTTAGAGAAACACTTTAACGAACCTTCATGTTTCCTTCACGTTGAATGGTTACATATTTGGCCTTTTTGTTAGCCTCTATAGAAAAAACTCTGGGGCGCGGCCGCAAAGTGCATGTACTATGAAGCGCAGAGCGGACGATTTCCCTGCATCGGTCGGTCTGTTGGGCTGCTGTCTACGTCACTATCGATCAGGTGTAATGGCTTCGTTTTTTTTTGTTTTTGTATCAAAATTAGGTGACCACTTGCATTCTGAGGGTGAAATTTGGCAGGTAGCATTATCACTAGCTAGACTACCTATAAATCGGCTTTTCGAGGTGTGCACTATATTGCTGCAGTTGGCCTTTAAGAGGGATGGCAGTATGGTAAGTTGTTGAGATTAAGTCGAGGGAATGCAGCAAAACTGACCCTTCCGTTTACACGTAACTGCAAGTCTTGACTGTTCCTCATCCATCCATAACTTCTACCACCTCTTTACTAATCAATCAATAAGGCCAGACATAGATGATCCAAAAACTACAGTGGTCATATAGCACCATGCTTCTTGACTGAAGACTCTGTGTGTCATTATTGCTTCTAATTCCTACCACATTCAGCTGCACTGCGCTTCAACCAACGGGGCCTGCAAATGAACCAAGTTTGCATCTCACCTGGTGATGTCAAGAACATCAGTGCATTTCCTCTCTGTTAAGTTATTGTGATTTAGCAGGGTATAAACCTGAACTCGTTGACTTGGCCTCATGGCAGGGAAATGCGCAGATACTACATGGGACAAGAAGGACTGACAGGACTTGGTGTCAAATTCTGTCGCTCTTTCTTGTCTCGTGTATCTGCGCTGTTTCCTGCTATGAAATTATTGTGAGGAAAGATAAAGTGTTTTTCATTTTAAGCACTGTCAGCCAAAGCTTTGAAGTGAACCGGAAAATGTGGCTCAGCCATGATAATGATAGACAATAGGTGGTTGTGAGGATGAAGTGAAAGCTATAACACAATAGCGTAACTGTGGTGAACACTCCTTAGTAGCAGATTGACTACTATGTTGGGGCAGTTTCTGCAAAAATTTGATCCCAGATTCAATCCTCTTGTGAGGCAGAAAAATTTTGCTGTTCATGTTCAAAACTCTTGTTGAATCGTTAAAGCACACAGCATACAATATCTTGCAATGCCACTAATATGCAAGCACAGCCATAGTGTCGTGTGTCACTCTAATCGGACCGCAAGCACAAATACAGTTGACAATGAGTCTACTTGAAATGTAAAAAGTATGGCGTGGTGAAACTAACCAAAACATGCAACACTTTTACACATGAAAAGCAAGCTACACAATGAGAAAGAACAAGTACTTGACTCACAACACGGAGACCCAAAGCTTACCAATCGGAACTATTTGGTTGACCAATTGATGATGTTTGCTATAAATGACACCACCAGTAGTACCCATGTTACATCATGATGAGTGGTGGGGCACCAGAAAAGCCTAGAAAAGGAGCTGGGATTGCTTTGGTTTTTTATTTTCTACATTGTCTCAATGTGTAGTGCTGCCTTGCAAAAGATGACTGTCACAACATTCTGTAATAATTGTGTACAAAATGGTGTCAGGGGTTGTTTGCAGTCCTAATACTTTAGTATGTGGTTGATTATAAGTATAAAGAAAAGGCCATACCACGAAATTCTTATTGTAAAATGCAGATCCATTAAATAATAATGGTTATGACTGTCACAATATTAATTGCGACCATGCTTGTAAGTGTTTGCTGCATGTACAATCTGCATCAAATGAAAGCCGAACAGCGGCAAGTCTTTGTGATAGTATACAGTTAAACCTGCTTATAACGAGCCTACATATAACGAATTCCTCGATATAACAACATTTTTCTATTCCCCATCATTACTCCATAGAAGCACATGTATTTGTGACCTCTATGTAACAAAGTAACAGAGCAAGACAACCTTGATATAATAATTTCCCCCACGACAGTCTAGGAGTTTTGCCCCGAATTTGGTATGAGCATGCATCTTCCGCGGGCCGTCGCCGGCGAGAGCGAGTGTTCGTGATTGAGCACGGGTGAGCGTGAGACGGGCAGGCGGGTCTGCGCGCCCACGAGTTGGCGTTGCCGCCGTTCTTACCGCCGTGGGCGCATGCGCGGATGTGCCCCTCCTCCCTCCCAACCAAAAAAAGAAAACCTGCATGTGCAGTGCCACATTTTTAGTTAGCATCACATATGTGGGGTCGCACTGCATATGGAGGACACTTTACTGAATTGTTTTCGGCGACATCCGTGTCGTTCGCTCTTCATTTTCGAAGCCGTACATGTGTTCATGGTGTGCCACACCATGTGTGCGCATAATGTGGCCTCCGACGGCGTCCAGCGTTTTTTTTTTTTTTTTTTTCCGCTCACTAGTCAGGAGATGTCAGATTAAGCGCTGACAGAAACCGAGACCAGGGTGAATCACGCGCTTCCGTCTTGCGCTACGCCACGAGGTTACGAGACTGTAGCCTTTTCGATTAACTCGGGCTATAACCCGACGGCGCTTTTAATGTGATAGCAACAAATTGTAATGTTATACAAAGTACGGCTGGCAGCCAACTTTTTTAGATTCGATATCATGGAACTCCTACTAAACGCCCGTGTAAGTGAATACGGCCACTCCAAGGAAAAGTGCACTTTTCGTACAGTCTCTTCGCGTAGCAAGCACACTAATGCTTGCCGAGATAGCACATGCGCCAGCAATAGCGACCACGCCCTTAAAATCAAAGTTCATTGTTGCTACTGAAACGACTCCCCCCCCCCCCCCTTGCATTTTTACGTGCTCATTCAAGACAGCTGGTTTTCTTTCTGCTTGAGCATTTGACGGCAGTTCTAACACACAGGGGGTGTTATCGTATCTGCCCACCAGGCGTTAGAGATGGGCCTGGGCCGGCTGATTTGATAGCTGCTGCAGCAGCGCCGGTGCGCTCTTACCTGCTTGTAAAAGGGGTCATGTTATCACGGGGGCATGTTATCAATTCGGACTTTTTACGGAACATGACGGTGACGGCAAAAACCAGCCGAGAGTGCCCATATAATTTCTGTCACAATAATAATGCAGTTTTGTTACCGCTAAATAACTGTTTTGAGTTTGCTCTGTCTTCAGTTCCGGTTTTGTTAAAATTGTGCTTTTATTTTTCGAATTTTGGTATCGAACCTGCACATAAGGAATTCCTCTTTATAATGAATTTTCCTGGGAATTTGTAAATTTCGTTATATCGAAGTTTAAGTGTAGTACGTGCTGACACCTATTACCATAGACAGGTACGCATATGCTCAGAGCTACAGGATGCGCGCGCCTGTCAATTGTGATAACTGGACTGCATGCACTATATTATGGCAAAGGCTTGCCGCTGTTTTGGTTTAATTTGATGTACTTAGTACATGGCCTATGAAGCTAAGACTCTCTGGATATTTCACCTCTCAAACGAGAAATAGCAACCTGTTCTTGCTATAAAATTGCCCTAGCCTTGCATCTGGATGCATGCAATGTTCCCATTCAGAAGCTATGATAAAATTAATATCTCGGTGATACAAACTCAGCTGATACAAATTTCGGGCTGATATGAATTAGCGAAATTCCCTGGCTGAATTCCATTAGGCTCAGTCAGCCAAAGTTCACATGTTCTTAACACATCTTCACGTTGCAACAGGTGATACGTACTTTGGTACTGAAACTTTCGAATGACGATGTAGAGCAATTTGCTCCGAAAGCTTCAGAAGTATGTGTGCTGCCAGCATGCGCATAGCCAGAACTGTGGTTATCGTTTACTACAACCGCTGTGGACAAAACTGCGGTCATTATTGATAAGATCGTCAATGGCAACCATGCATCAGTAGATTAAAGGCAATAAAATTGTAAAAGGCACAAAGCGTTTTTTTTGGGGTTCCTGTCATTCTTTGCTCATGACTATGGTGGAGGGGATTTTAGAACTGGGCTTTCATTTGGCCTCAAATGAAGGTTTTACACTCGCATTCACAGCATCCAGCTGCACCGTCCCTTATTGACTTGTTCGCGTGTGTTTCAGAAGGACGTGCGTGAGTTCTCTTCACAGAAATAAACGTTTTGTGCATATTCTATAGTTTGTAAATGGATTTTCCTAGTTTTTTTGCTATGCGAAATTTCAAGTGATAGGAATATTCTTGCTCCTCCTTGAGGTTCATTGAGATTCTACTGTAAGAATTAGGTGAATGCTAGCAAACAAAACAGTGTAGTGTTCTGACCCTTTTTTTTATTTTATGCAATCCTGCAGAACCAAAGTGCCATTTTACATGATGGAAAAATACATATTTGATATATTTTATAATTGTATGCAAAGATAACGTGCAATTACTGTTTTCTTTTCTTATCAGCATCAGAATTCTTCCTCACCAACAAGACACTGGTGCATTTTTTGTTGCTGTACTAAGGAAAATTGCACCAAAGCTGCCATGGGAGTCTCAACGCAAGGACAAAGGCATGGGAGACGTTCCTGTTGGTAAGCACAGAAGTTTTCGTGCTTAGGTGTTCTTGCATGGGCCTTGACTTCAGCAGTAAAATAAGCGTACTAGATAACATTTTTGTATGACAGCACATGCAAAGTGACTAAGCATTACAAAAATCTATAGAGTGGAACTGACAAGGATTTCAGCGCAAGGCATGCTACAGTATTGCTATTGATATTTATTAAAGTTTGAAGTGTATCATAAAATTTGGATTTGTGAATGAAGAAATTTTAATTATAAGCTTGTATGTGTGTGTCAATATACGTAGTGACTGACAGCCACCACGGCTGGCGAGCTTCGCTCTGGTCACTGGCATCTAAGATCGTGGTAAGCTTTACAAAGGGCCAAGTAATGTACTTACTTGTGTAATGAACGCACTCGCATAATAAACGCACCCGCAGCTTCACTCGTCAAAAGCTGGATTTTTTTTTCTCCCGCGTAATGAACGCACTTCCTACATTCGTCCGCCGCAGTCCCGCTAACCGACACCTGGCGCCTCTTTGATCATTGGATCTCTTTCATTTTTTATCATTACGCCGACCCCCTTCACGTGCCACTGTGCGCAGCATTGTTCTTCTTTCTATGCGTGCACAGCACGTCCCCTGTCTTTTTTTTATTATCTGTGTGCCACAGCGGGCTTCAGGAACGGTGTGAGTGTAGAGACGTCATAGTTGACAAGTAAACAGAGAGCGAAGGTCACAAAACTGCTCGTACCAACCGACAGTCTCTTCCTGCAAATACGAAACTTACAGCCCAGCCACATGCAGCAACGATGACAGGACTTGCAGTCACTATGGCTGTCATGAAGGCCATTCGTCGCCATTGTGTTGCAAGTTTTGGAAAACCAGAAACAATCGCTTCTCGCCCAGAAAATATCGCGACGATTTCCGCCACATTGTAGCACCCCCGACTCTTGCTTCAGTTGCAATTTGCTCTTTGTGCTTGTTATCCATGCGTACTTCAAGGCTACCTCTTCTGCAATGTGAGCAGTGTGGTGGCAGCTGTATTTTGTCATTAATCTTGTTATTGAGGGTTTGTTTTGATGCTTGGGTGGTAGCTTGCTGCAATGTGAACAGCGTAGTCACGGTGATCGTGCAAGGTTGCTGTGAAGTTGGCGAAGTGCGTTGTAGCACATGATTCAGGGCGCCCATCGAGATCTCAAAAAATACCACTGTTGCGGCTAAACGAATGCGGGAAAAGAAAGCCGTGAATCGCTTTTATGGAGTGTGTGGGCGGCGCAGGGACAGCTTGCAGAAAATAGTGCCTTCAGCCACCCAAGATGAGTAAAGTGCAACAAAGAACCTGTTTCCAAACATCATATGTGTGTGTCAACTGCAAAAGGCTAAGAGACCTAACTTTTTTTTTTTTTTGCATTACCGCATGTTTTGCTCATCTCGAAAAAGTTTGCCTTCAGTAATATCTTCACTGCTTTTAATGCATACAGTTTAATATTTAAAGTAGTGCATTGAGAGCTGATTGAGATAACTATCTATTTTTAGATCAAGAAGAAAAAGAAGATACTAAAGAAGACAAAGAGTGAGTTTCTGTTTGACTTTATTTTAAGCTCCTTCTGTTTTATGTATGCACTCATACACCACTTGAAGGAAATTTCTGCCGCAACAATGAATTATCAAGCCCTCGCCAGCTAGCGATTAAAATACAGAAATCCTTATGTATGAGTGATATCTCTAGAGTTATTTCCACTTCATAGACTTTTTTGTGAATTTATGTGGATCGGATAGGGATGCTTTCATCATTTGAACGAAATTTGTCATTGCAGCTTGAATATTTTGCAAGGCCTTCAATCTTTCTCTGCAGTGTATGCATAGCCATATGCAAAACTCGGTGTCCTCATCTGAGTTTTGCTTTTTGCTATCACGTGCACGTACTACCAAATATTTTTTTCCCTTTAGTGTGCTGGTTGGCAGCAGAACGTTCCTTCTGTCATGTTGCAGCAAATGTGCTCTATGCTAGCATGCAGACCGCAGTAGACTCATTCTCGATCCTCAGTGTCCACCGCGGTGGAGCAGTGGTTATGGTGCTTGGCTGCTGGCCTGAAAATCACCCGATTAGTTCCGGCTGCAGCAGTCATATCTCAATGGAGGCGAAATGTCAGAGATACGTGTTCTCTGCAATGTCAGTACGTTAAAGAACACCAGATGGTCAATTAATCATATCTTAGTTTTGGGTCCTAAAACCCCAGATAATATTCTCACTATCCTCAACAACTTCTCTCTGCCATATTTGGTGAAATTCTGGGGACATCACACTAAGTCAAAACAGAACTACTGCTCATCAGAATTGACATGGTTGTGTATGACAACTACAGAATTCTGATAGTATAGTATAGTACATGACCAATATGGACAGAGTGAAAATGATGCTATTTTTTACTGCACCTGTCATAGATAGAACAGTAGTCATAATCAAGATGAACACAGATAGTGGCTGCACAAATATGAAGGCACACTGCCAACGTAGTGTGATATCTGGTGGTAAATATAAGAAGAAAGGCTTTTGAAGACATTATCATTTAATTTCGGTTGACTGCTCTTGCATCACACGTTTGCTGTGCTGTACTGGGCATGTTTTGATGGTTTTACGAGTGAATAAGAGCGTGATGCCATTATAATGTCCACTTTTTTTAGGGCCAAAAAATGAATCCAAAATATCTAATTTTTCAAATTAGCAAGGGTTGGCAGTAGTGAGGTTTTACTTCATAATTTGTATCTCTTTTGTAAAAACTTTTGTGGAAAATGAATACTTCTGTGGCAATTTTTTTTTTCACTTCCTTCACTTTTGTTTTGGAGTCAGATATCAATGTAAACCTTGATTACACAAATCTGAAAGGTGAATTAAAATAAATCCATGATGTGATCAGCTATTTTCACTTCCCAATCTTAGCTCCATAGAAAACTGCTTTATGAAGTAAGTTGGTGTTGCACTTTTGATTTACCCAAATCGCAGTGAGTTGCATATGTACAACTGTACTTTCTGACAAAGGAAAGTTCATTAAACATCATTCAAGAGAGAATAGGTCTTTTGCGGGGGCCTTTTGACTTTTTGCCTGGAAACTGCTGACAGTTGACAAACAGCGTTGTTGAGTGGCTTAAATGGAACACGCTGCACTTTGCGTTTCCATTTTGTCTCATGAAAGTTACCCAACTGCAACCCTCAATTTGTGTTGTGGCCGCTACTGAAGTATGCTGCAATAAATCTGCATTTTTGGTTTTGGAGACCGGTCTGTCAGTGATTGTGATTACAGTGCATAAGTATTGAAAATAGTGCCAAAAAGCTCCAATGAATGAACTGTATAGATCACACTGGCATGTTATAACTTTTTCTTGTGCAAAAATTAATTGCACTCATCAGCACAGGGTGCGGCTGGTGCTACATTTTGCCTTTCTGTTGCAAAGTTTAGTGGACGAATGATTACCATTCACAGCAGGATTACTAGCACTAATATGGTTTGGGGTCTGTTTGGATGCAGCCAAGACATCGGTGCTACTGGCAAAGTTCTTTTAATTTTTGATGAACATAACACATATCCTGTGCATATGTGTTTTTTCTTTGTTCTGTGTCGAATTTCCTCAGTTCAATACTAAAGTGAAAACATCTGCACTTATATTTTTACTTTTTTGCAGCAGTCTCTTTGGCGGCAGTCTAGAAAGAAAGCGCACAATCTCTCTCTCTGATGGAAAACAGTATACAGGTGTCCAACAGCCGAAATATAATTTGGAGCAGCAAAATGTTACTTTTGGAGCACTAAAATCAAAATTTCAAGCAGGTTACAGAGAAAAAAATTGATTTTTTTAATCACGAAAGGCCAAATTAGGAGCAGTATCAAAAAAAGGCTTACATTTAGAAAAAATAAAATATGTACAAACTATTCAACATTCTCTAAATCATGCAGACTGAATATGAGCACTGCTAATTCAATAAAAGACATATTTTGAACCACCCCGCTCAGCAAACAATAATAAAGTCCACATTACATTTGCCACACTGGTCAAACCGTTTGAGATACTCTGAGTATTCAAGTGTGGATCTGCCAAGCTGGAGACCTTAGCGGTGGCAAAAACAAAAAAACTGGTGCACAGTTTTTTTTTTAATTCTTTAGGGCTGCAAAAATGTTATACATAATGTAGCTTATGGCACGAAAAAAAACATGAGAGAAGGACAAGCGCTTGTCCTTCTCTCGTGTTTTTTTCACGTCATAAGCTACGTTAAGAATGAACCAACTCGCCCAACAAGTCACTCTGATGTTATACAGTGCTACAAATGATTGCCAGTAATATTTTTATACATAAGCAATCATACTAGTATTCACAGTCATGCTGCATATACATGCATGAGTAATTAAACCAACTGGGCTGTGTCCCGTGACTAATGCTAACAGCCCCTTCCATATCTTAAAACAGTTCTCCGCAAGCCGTCAGTATACTGCAGCGAAGGTGCCTTAAGCGGCGTTCTACATGGGTTAGAACCAGGATGTTATACTAAAACTTCTGGAGTGGCGGTCCCGCATACCCACTTATGTATCTAAGTGAAGCCACGGCGGCCATATTGCTCAGGGCAGAAGGAGGAGGCGCCTGCCTTGTAGCACCGTAATGCTCTGGGCACTTTTCGCCGTGCGCTTCTACTGGAGCACCTGTTTGTTATTCTTAGGAGGCGAGGGATCGTGGGAGGGACTTTAATGCACATCTGCTTTAATTTTTCTTTGATACTTAGCATATTAAGCGTGTTAAAAAATGCCAGGACTGCGTGGAACGCGCAGCACTGTCACAGCAAAAGCTAGAAGAGTGGCCTTTCAGAGCCTTTTCTAAACACTCTTTGGGATGCTACAACCACACTGCTGGATACCCACAGTGCCATAAATAATCTAATTTTGTGTAGTAGGCCAGCATTCACTATGCTATCCTTCGTCATTCTTTGGAGAAGCGTACTAGCTATCCGCTAGACACACCTGTTGGAAATTTTGTGCAATTTTTTATGCAGTGGCTGGCGACTATGAAGAAATATGCGTGAAGTGGGCATGCCTCACAGTTCATAGGTGATCAAGAACAAGTTTTCTAATTGGTTCGAGCATTGGACGACCCAGTCGTAACTCAGTTTGCCTGGCTGATGTTCTAAAATGCTTTATCACTCATATTAACACGGTTCCTTTCCCAACATTAAGCCTGCCTAAGGCCAATTTGGAAACAAGTTCCAAGCACTGGCGTGGCTCAGTGGTAGAATACAGGGCTGGCACACTCAGCGGCCCCGGATACGAATACTATTGTGTCATTGGTGTGTTTGAGTTCACAACAATAGCTTGACTTAGTGGTAGAATACTGGGCAGGCACGCAGCGGACCCGGGTTGGAATCTCATTGTGTCATTGGTGTTTTTTATTTGCCCAGTATTTTTTTTTTTTTCGTTTGATACTGGTTACAGGCGGCGGCAGCGGATTACTACGGCGCCACGCGTGACCCGTGTTTTAGTCTCATAACAGCTAGCTTTCGTTGTAAAAAAAAAGAAAAGCTTACTCAGGAATATCAATTCGCATAATATGTTTACACAGTTGCTTCACAGCAGAAGTAACGAGTGAGGACATGCAGCGAAAATACAAGTGTAACTCTCACACAACCATAAGCCCTTGGCAAAAAACAATGGAGCGTGTGTGCAAACTCTTTTCGGAGCGAAGCTCCTTAAGGCGTGGGTCTGTACATCCTCCGATGTGTGTAGTAGTAGTAAGTAGCCACAGGGTATGCGAGATGGGAGGTGGTGGTACTTAGAGTGTGCACTGGATGGACGCATGGACGGACGGACACGTGGATGGACGCACGGATGGTCGCAAGGACGGATGGAAGCAAGAACAAACAAACGTACGGAAGAACGGATGGGCTGACGGACGCTTCGCCCCTCTCATCATCATTCACTCCGTGGATATGCTATGATTTTTTTATTATAGGGGCGGGGGGTTATTCGCCTTTTCACGTACTTGTTTGAGAAGCTACTGGATATCCAGAGAAAACAAAGCTTGGGAAACTTCCAATCGTTCATCTGATAATATGTTCTACTTCATTATCTGGTTCTACTTCATTATCTGTTCTACTTCCTATCTTTAAAAACACCAGAATAATAGCTAGAAACAAATGTGAAATGAGTCGTCTTACAATAGAAGTTGAGCAGATTGCGGCACTTGGGGATATAGGTGTCAGCCAGCCGTCGATAGCGCTGTCACAAAAAGAGTCAACATATCTGCGCAAGACATGAGATTGTCAGTGTATACATGTATGTATGTGCTTACATTTTTTATTTTTTATGTTCATTTATTCATGTGCTCACATGACTATGCTCACAGACAAGTGCATAAATGTTCTCTGGTTTCTGAGAATAAACTTTGTTGGAAGTTAGCTCTGTCTGTCTGCATGTGCCCTCATTTCTACCTGTTGTTTACATGCACTACAAGAAAACTCCCAGAATTGCAGCTAGAGCCGGTGCTATATTAACTACTTTTCAAAAACTAAGTGCTCACTTGTATTAGGCACACTCA